CGGGGCAGATAGCCGGGTGATCGCACTCTGCCGCCGGGGAATCCCCGCGGCCTGGATGGGCCGGTCTACCGCAGGGGGATGTGCCGACCGATGCCTTTTCCGGCCCGCCGCCCAGGACACCCCACCGGCAGGCGGATGGAATTTAGACCGCCTGTGTGCTGGGCTGGGAGATCCTCGGGGAATCGCTTCATGGACTGTGTCCCCGTCTTTCCTCCGCGCCTTCTCCCCCCCCCCCTCTCCCCTTGGACATTCCCTTCCCCCCCCCTCTCTCTCTGCCTCCCCCCTTTCCTCGCCGTTAAGTGCCCCCTCCCCCTCCCGCCCTCCCTCCCCGCCAAGGGGCGCGCCGACCCGGCCCCCCGACGAAACTCCGCAGTCATGTCCGAGGATTTTCGCTCCTTCGCCGACCAGTTGGTCCTCTCGCCGGTAGGCTTCGCCGCCACGCGCTCCAGCATCCTGGACCCGTCCAACCGGCCGGACTTCGTTTTGCAAAACCTCTTTTCTTCGCTCTCCTCACCGCAGGATGCCCTGTTGGCTGCCAGCGGGGCGCTGCTTGGTGGGGGACCGCTGGCCGTCGAGGATCCCGATGATTCGGATTCTTCGCGTCCGTCGAGCCCGACCGAGCAGGGCCCCGGCGCGGGCTCGGGATTGGGAGCATCCCGATCGATGGCCTTGGCGTCAGTGGCCTCGGCGTCGGCCTCCCAGGTGGCCGGATCGACTGCCTCGCTCAAGTCCCTTCAGCCTCTCATGTTCAGCCCCCGGCTGACCGGCAATCAGCCAGGGGCCGGGGCCGGGCCCTCGGCCCGGATCTTTCAGGCCCCGGAGGCAGGCCCCGGGGCCGGGCCCTCCTCAGGGGGGCCTGCCCCTTCCGGTCCCGGGGCTGGGGCATACAAGCGGTCCACCTCGACCGCCTCGCTGAGTGGTACCGCTGCCGGGGGAGCGGGGTCCAGCAGTGCCTTCACCTATGCCTATGGCGAGCACCTGGATGGGCCGGTTATCCGGCCCAGCGCCGCGTCGGTGTCCCTGCCACCGACCCTCGGGTCGATGTTGCGTGATTTGTACACCACGGCCGGGGCCGGGGGCCCGGGCGGAGCTGGCACCGACGGCAAGGGCATGCGAGCCAAGGCATCGGCCGCGACCGAGGTCCTGTCCATCGCCACGCCGGCTGCGGTGCGGGCCTTCCACCAGTCATTGATCCAGTGCCGAGATGCGCGCCACGCGCAAATCGTTCGCCTCTGCACCGACCACTATGAGGCCTTCGTGTCCAGTGTGGAGAAGCTCCAGGGCAGCCATGCGGCGGCCATCGGCCTGGCCGAATCGATTCGCACCCTGGCCGAGTGCCTGGAGGGCTCGGGCAATGAGCTTCTCCTGTTTGTGCGTGTTTCACGCCCGGTCCCCGGCCTCCCTGCATGTGTCTGCCCTCCTTCGGGGTCTTGCTGACTTGGTTGTCACCTTCCTTTGTTCGCCCACTTTTGGCCGCTCGCTGGCAGGATGGCTACATCGAAAAGGTAAATCGTGCCAAGAAGAACATCACTCGAGCCAAGGGGACCCTGCATCGGGCCCGGCTGACGGTCTTGGCGGTGGGCGAAATCCTCAGTCGGACGCACTCCAAGAAGTACTATGCCGCCATCCGAACGTGCGAGCGGCTCTACAGCACCATCCAAAATATGGCCCTCACCACGACGCATGCGCCCCTGCTGCATGCCTATGGCGGCGGGGTTTCCGGGCCGTCATCTTCCACGGCCGGGCGTCTTGGCGATGGCCTCAATTCGGCCGAGGCCGCCGCCGCCGGCAGTGCCGGGTCCGGTCGGAATCCCCTGCTCAGTCCGTTGGACCAGTCGGTGGTGCTCTTTGTGGCCGATGTCCGGGCGTGGATCCTGTCCCGCGCGCGGGATGAGCTCCAAAAGTGGCTTGAGCAGTGCGTCCGGCCTTTGCCCCTCTCGCCTCCCGCCCCGCCCCCCCCCCCCCCCCGCCCCGCCCCGCCCCGCCCCGCCCCCGCGCTGTCTTCCTTGAGCCCTGACACCGGCCTCGGGGGGCTCCTGCTGCTTTCTTCTCACCTCCCTCTATCCTCACCTCGCCAGGATTCGCTCGGTGGCGCAGGAGGTCGGCCGGGCCCGACTTCAGGCGGCCATCCTGCTGCTTGGCCAGTCCACCCAAACCCTGCCCCAAAGCGGGCAAATCTTCTCCCTGCCAGTGCACGAGGTGGCTGGCTTCAATACGGCGTCGCACTCGCTGACGGCCATCACCAGCATGGGGGCAGCCTCGCCGGCCGGTCGGCCCCCGGGGTCGGTCATCTCCGACATGCTGGCATCCACCCCGATCATCGAGTCGGTGGAGGATTTGGTGTCCTTCGTGCCGCTCTACCGGTCGCAGCACATCGCCGCCACCCTGGGCACCTTCGCCACCCTGGCGCAGTATTACGCGAAGAATCGCAAGCTCCAGCTCGACCTGGCCCTGACCGTGTCCCTGCAATCGGAGTCCTCCTCCACCGGGCTGTCCCCGGGCGAGGGTGGCTCGGAGCATGGGTTCCCCGAGTCGCGGCGGTCTCTCGGATCGCCCGGGCCCCGTGCCCCTCCGGGGGTTGACATCTCCCCCTCCGAGTTGCTGAAGGCCGATCAAGTCCTGTCAGATGTGGTGGGCTTCTTTGCCATCGAGGCGGCGGCCGCCTACTCCTGGCTGGAGCACATCACGGACTTCAAGCTGGTATGTTGTTTGCGGCGAGGGCGGCGCACCCGGGGCAATGGTGCATTTGGCTAACTCCCCCCCCCCCTCCCTCTCTTTCTGGTGGGCATTCCCGTGTGCAGGTTTCCGAGCTGTGGGTGTTCGCCACGCAGCGCCTGCTGGCACTGCTTGCCCCGGTCATCAACTCGGTGCATTCGAAGCAATCGCTCCTGGCCTTGCGGTGCCGGATTTTGGCCTTCGTTTCGGCGGCCACCTCGCTCATGTCGCCCCTGGAGTCGGCGGACATCTCGTCAGCCTACTCGCTAGATGGGCACCGGGCGCTTGAGTACTTGACCTCGCGTGGGGCCTTGCCGGGTTCCTCGGCGACCGGGGCCGCGACCGGGGCTGGGGCCGGATCTGGTCCAACTGCCCCTGCGGCCGGTGGCCCGGGAAATGCGGGTGCCGCCAATGGGCAGGCCGTTCGCGCGGCTCCCCTGTTTGGGCCGCGTTCCACCGAGCAGGAAGTCATGGTGGCGGCGGCGGCGGCGGCGGCGGCGGCGGCGTCAGCGACGGCAATCGGCTCCGGACCCACCGGTGCCCTGTATACCGGCCATTTGCTGGATCTCCTGTCGCGCCTGCTGGCCAAGCATCTGGAGCTGACAACCCCCGATCTCCGAAGCATTCTCTCATCCATGACAGCCCTGACGTCCGGGCCGCCGCACGATGCCGCGGCCCTGGCCAATGCCCCGGCCCTGCTGTCGGTGGAGACTTCCCTGAACAGCATGCGCCGGCTGCTCCGAGAGCTGGTCCTCTTCATCGACGGGGCGTACGCCTTTGCCAGTGGCTTCCCGCATGCATCTTCCTCAGACAGCGACTATGCCATTGTCCGGTTTGTTGAGAGCCTCCTGTCGCGCGCGTGCCTGGTCATCTCCCCGCCCTTGGAGTCCCTTTCGCCGGCGGACTTCACCCCCCATGAAGCGGCGCTCAGCCTGAAAACGGCCCACTTCATGTCTAACCGAGTCATCCCGAAGGTGGCCGAGCGGGCGGCGCGCGAACGAACGGCCGATCGCGGCGTCGGGGTGCACTTGGCCGAAGCGGAGCTGGCCGCCGTGGCAGCCATCGCCCGATGCCACGACTTCGTTTCCCGGTGCCTGATCATCCGCGTGGAGAGCTGCTTCGAGACCTTCTATGGCCAGGCACAGGCCGAGGTCCAGGCGTCCAAGGAAACCGGGTCCGGGGACTTCCTCGATGAGCAGGAGCTGCTGGAGTCGGCCGAGGCGGCCGCCATCGAGGCATCCAGTCAAATGGCCTCGTCGGCCGGTTCGCCCGGCAGCCCGCGCTTTTCCGGATTCCGGCTCTTCTCGGCCTTCTCATCGACCAACACCAATGTCGCCAGTGGCGACTCGTTGTCTTCCGGCTCGAGGGCATCCCTCTCGCCTGGGCACCTGCCGGAGGGGGCCAGCTCGCCAGGCAACCTCAGCCGCAGTCCGAGCATCAGTGGCATCGTCTCACGGGCTGGGTCTTCACGGCCTCCCTCGCCCACGCCGTCTGTCACCTCGGCCCGGTCGCTGGCATCCATGTCGGCCCCGGGGCCCGGGGCCGGGGCCAGCCTCGGCGAGGGGCCCGGCTCGGGGGCGGCCGATGCGGCTGGCCGCTTCCGCAGTGGTCTTGGCTTGAAATTCTTCCAGCTGGCCGACAGCGAAGTGGGGCTCTACATTCAGTCGACCCTGTCGGCGCTCGATGTCCCGGGCGATGTGCGCAATATCGTGGCCCTGGCGGTGGCCGAGCGCTCGCGCGACCTGCTCCTTGGGCGGCTGTGCGGCCTGGCCGCCGGGGCAGTGGGCAGCAAGCAGGCGAAGGACCCATCCCGTGGATCGGGCGCCCCGGCAGCCGGGCCCCGGGGGTCGCTGGGTGTTGCGCCGCTGGGCGACCTTCCCGGGGGAGCGCGCCGGTCCTTCGGTGGTCCTGGTGGCGGCCCGGGGGCAGGCTTGGGGAGTGGCGGCGCGCCTGGTCTCGCGGGTGCCAGCACTCCCGGCGCCAGTCGTGACTTGCCGAATGCCTCGACACTCTTCTCCGAGGCGGACAGCTCCGAGGCCGGGGTCGACCGCGCCGGCGCATATGCCATCTGTGTGTTGGTGGCTGTGTTGACCCGGTCGATCAACCAGTCGGTGGGGAATCTGGGCATGTGCGAGGCTCTCTTCTTCGATGTGGCTGAGGTGTGCATCCGTTCCCTTTTCATGTGTCTCCCCTTTTTCTTCCTTCTCTTTCTGGCGCTCTCCGGCTCGCTGTTGTTGTCGCCACCTGGATGGCCGCCCCCCCCCCCAAACCCTTTGCTCACTCTCGTCGCTCCTTTCTCCCGCTCCGCCCCCTACACACGGAAGATCGCTCGTGTTCTATCGCTCTCCACCACCAAGCTGTCTTCGCTCTCGCTGCGGGGGATCAGCTGTTCGTCGCGCACCGAGCGGGACAACCTGGCGCGGGCCATTTACCGGCACCGGTCACTCCTTGGATCCTGGAGCACGGCCAACCGAAACCGACGCCGAGCCTGCGAGAACCTCATCAAGCAGCTCGGCTACTCGGTGTAGCCTCGGGAAGTGGCTTGCCCGTTGTTTGCGAAGGGCCCTCATGTCCTCCCCTCGGGACGCATGTGCCCCTTTGTATGTATACAGGTGTCTGTGTGATGTTTTTTTTTCTGCCGACACAGCGTCACTGGGCCTCGGGGCTTGGGGGGCTTGCATGTTTATGACCATAGGTGTGTGTGTGTGTGTGTGTGTGTGTTGGAGGGGTAGGGGGAATACGCCCCGCCCCCCCCCCCCTCCCCCCAGGCCGGAACAGGGAGCAGGGGACAGAAGACATCATACGGGATGCGGGCAGGCATACCCAAACGCGCACGCGCGCGTGCGTGCGTAGATACATGTAAATGTGTATGTATTTATGGATGTATATTGCAGGCGTAGGCGCAAGCCATGCACACGCGTTCGGGCGCGCAACCACCATGGCAAAGGGTGTGGTATGGTGACGCCCATGGGACCCACCGTCAGAATTCAGTCCTTCAGAATAGCATGGCACAGGGGCGAGAGGTTGGTCTTGAAAAACTCGACGGCCAACCGAGGCGACCCCTCGGCGATGACATGGCCATTGAAGACCAGGCGCAGGGACTTCCCCTCGGCGCCGGGGAGCTGGAAGAGGGCCTCGGCGATCTTGGAGTACACATCGCCGATGGTGGCGGTGCCCGGGACCTCCAGGGCATCGGTCGGCTTGGCCTTCACGCCGACCACCGAGAGGCGGATCTTGTACGATTCGTCGCCAGCCGAGGCCACCTGACTGGAGTCCACCATCGGGACCTGGATCGGCCGTTGGGCCATGGCGTCCAGGAAGTGGCCAATGAACTCCTGCCTATCGATACGGTGCTCCATGGTGAGGGTGTGTCGGTTTGCGAAGGGGCGGGGCGCAGGAAAGGGGCGAGGGGGGCGGGGGCAGGGGAGATGCGGCAGAAGAGGAGGACTGTTGAGGGGATTTGATTCCTGGTGGGCTGGCAGGTTGGGCCCTCTCGATGGGGATGAGGAAGACCACCGCGATTCGTGTGCCCTGGGGCACGGCGGAGGGGGGGGCGGGGGGGCGGGGGGCGGGCGGGGGACCGGGCAAAAGAGATAGAAAGAAGTCCAGCATGAAAGGGGAGCCGGCGCCAGGGCGCGCGCGCGCGTCTCGCTCGGGACTCCTGATCCAGGCAGACGGAGCTGACTCCCCCCTGGGGAGAATGAGGCGTCTAGGCGGTGTTCGCGTTCGATTTGCTCGGCAACCGCCGGCCCAAGGTCTGGTGGGGGCTGCCAGCGCACGCCCCCCTTCCCTCCTCGGTCTGTTCGGGTGGGCGGGCGACAGACACCTCTGTCTCCCATCCCCCCCCCCCCCCCCCACGTCTGCCAAAATGCTGGCGTTGCCTCGCACATTCGCGCAGGCGGGGGAGGGGGGGGAGGGGGGGCGTGCGCGTCCACCGGCGATGGAGGCCTGCACTGTCCGGGCGATCCGGACCGGTGGAGCTGATTCGGGTGTCAGTCGACTGGCCACATCACGGGACGGCACGTGATAGCGCGCATGACCACCCACGGCCCTCGCCCTGGCAATGGCGCGAACTGCCACCCTCCCTCCCCATCTTCTCCCCACTGGACTATTATTATCCCTTGCTCGTGCCTTCTTCGCGTCTTGTGCTGCCCGGCTCCCGGCCTCTGCGATTGGGGCATCATTTCAACCTCCCCTGGGGCCGGGATCCACGCCCTTATTCAGGAGCCACCAAGATCCCCGCACACCCACGGCTGGTTGTCCTATCCGTCCTCTCACTGATCTTTTTTTATTGCATCACCTCAGCCCGCCCTCTTCTCCTTCGCTCTTGCCTCCTCCCTGCCCAGTACCTCCCTTCCCTTCCCCGGGTCTCGCCTCCCCCCCTCCCCTCTCCCGGCATCTACATTTCACGCTCTCCCACACCTCCACCTCTCGGAGGACGTGGGACTCCCTGCCGGCCTCATCCCCAGCTCCCCCAAGCAAAGATGGCTGATGACGCCAGCCTGATTGAGGTGTCCCCCATGGTGGCACCCAAGCTTGTCAGATCCATGTGCGCCATTCGCGGCTCCCCTCGCCTCACACATATGCAGGCGTTCTGACCCTCTCGTCCTCCCCCGACCTCCCCCCCCCCTCCCCCTCCAATAGCCTCAGCGCGTTGACTTCCGACCACGAGTTTCCGGAAGACCTCTTCTCGGAGGTGCCCTATTCGCCAGCCGACAAGGTACATTCCCTCGATCGCCGCGTTCTCCCTTCAACCGCGGAGGCCCCAGTCCTGACCTTCTGTCCAGCCTCCACCCGCGACGAATGCCGAGACGACCAAATCCGACAAAAAGTCCTCCAAGCTGGCCAAGATGTCTTTGGAGGTCGCATTGGCCGAGGAGCACTACATCGCGCTGAATGTCCCGGACAAGCCAATGCCATTCAGCACGATCCGCACCAACAACGCCAAGATCTTTCTGTTTTACGCGGCGTCCTGTGCGTTTCAGCCTTCTCCCTGAGGTGTTGTTCGTCTGCCGGATCTGTCAACTCACCGCCCTCGTCCCCGCCCTGCTGGCGTAGCTTTCCGCTCGAACAGGAAATTTCCAACTGGTGCGCCTTCCCCGACTCGGTGTCGGCCCATCCTCACTCCTGCGTCACATCTCTGCTGGCCATCGTTGTTTTCCTCCTTCTCATCTCCCCTTTCCCCCGCCCCCCTCTCTCCTCCCTCCCCCGCGAATCCGCACATCAGACGAGCTTGCCCAGGTTGCATTCTTCCTGCTGTTGTACGCCCATCACCGGTGGCCCTGATATTGTCCCCCCCTCCCGCTTTTGCCACGCCATCCTGCCTATTGCTTGTTCTGATCCCTTGTCCACCTTCCTCCGTCCCGTGCCGTCCCGTTTGAAGTAATACCGAAAAGGACCCTGTCCAGGTTGCCGAGCATATGCAGCACTTTGAGATTCTCCGATCGGGGCAGTGCGTGCCCCCCCCCCCCCCCCCCCCTCTCCCCCTCCATCTCCCATCTCTGCTTGGTTCTCTTTGGATTGTCCCTCACCCCTCCCCCCCCCCTCCCCCGTCCTTTAATTCAGTGCCTGGTCTCGGGTACTTGCGTTCCTGTCCTTCCGTCCTGATCTGGCCGATGCTTCGCCTCATCCGATGATGTACGTGTGCTCCGTCGGTCCCACTGGTCCTCTCTCTCTCTCTCTCTCTCTCTCTCTCTCTCCCCCTGGCACCCTCCCCTGTTCGATTAACGCTCCTTCCACGTCACCCACTCCTCTTATCCCCTCTCCCGCACGTTGGACAGGCACCTTGCATCCATTCCCTCACTGGCGCCGCTCTTCTTCCGGTACACGGAGAACTCGCTGACAGCTGGGTTCCTCAACAACTCCAAGTCCCTCCTGTTGTACGAGAACACGCAGCTTCTTCCGAACTTCATCTTCAGTGTCCTGGCAACCTGCAGTTTGAATCCCAACGACAGTACGTTTTTTTTTTGACGCCGGCACCTGTCCCTCTTTTCCGTATTTCCCCCTTCTCCCCTTCCCTCCGCCGTGGTGGGAATCCCATGCATGACACAGCCTCCCTGACATCCTTGGGACGCGCTGCGATTGGCAGAAGCAACGGCCACCAAGTTCCACTGGGCTCTAGACGCCATCGCCACCATCCTTATTCGTCTTCTTGATCAGCACAAGACCTTTGGTCACTTCCTCGGCATCGACAGCTGGGGGCCAGTTCTCTTTGGGGCTCTGTTCGTCATCTACGACTCGTTCCCCAATTTCTGTGCGTTCATGCCCCCCCCCCCCCCTCTCGCTCTTTTCTTGCCCATTTTCATGCCCTCTTTCAATAGGCATCCTGTCGCCCAACTGACTCGACCTATGCATTTCGCCGCAGTCGGAGGCCGAAAGCTGAAGAAGGCGCAATTCCCAAACCGGCGTAATCTGGCGGCCGTTCTGGTGGAGATCGCCAATCTCTGGGGCATCACCGACCAGGTCATTCATCCGCCCTTCCGTCAGCTGAAGGCGCATCCGGTTTGCGCCCTGCTGGACGCCCTGATGTTCTGGGCTCCGCACTACTCCAGCTACTACCAGGATTTTTTGCCGAAGAAGTACTACTCGTGCGTCTGGTGGAGCGGTTGTTGCCTGTTCCCTTGCCCCACCCTGCCGAGCATGCGCCCTCGCTCCCCCCCCCCCTCCCCCCCTCCGACTAACTCCTGTCCTTGGTGGCTTCCCATGTCGCATTAGCCTCAATAAGCCATCCGAGCGCCTGGCGCGGTTCTTCTTCGTACAGCTGTATCAACTGCTGGTGAAGCACTGTGAAGTACGTTCCATCTGTCCCCTTCCATCTGGCCCGTTGATGCGCTCGTATGGAAGAGCGAGGGGGCCAGGGGAGACACAAACCCACTGTGTTTGCGCGTTCTTACCCAGAATTGGACCGGTCCCAATGGTGACATTTCTCCAAATCCTCATCATCCCCACTTTGCAGATCTTCGAGGAGGGCAAAGTGCTCCCCGATGACGGGTCGCTGCTTGTGCGTTGTAATTCGTCTTTTTAGATGGGTGCCCATGTGTCAGGTGCATGTGCATGGTTTTTTTCTTCCTCCACTGGCGCCTGACCACTTCCCTATGCCCTCACCTACTCTTGTCTTCTGATCTTGGCCATGCCCTGTAGTCACGAGTGAAGGTGAAGAATCTGAATGCGATCCCGCCCGACGAGTATCTTCCCTTCGCGCCGCTCTTATTGCGGGTGAGGAGGGCGTCAATGTCGTCGGCCAAGGCCAACAAGGCACCGGCCGCCAAGATCCTGAAGCCGGCGCACGACACCGGGAAGTCGGCAACCAAAGCCGCCTCATCAACCTCTCTGCCGTTGGCCAAGAATCAGATTTCCATCGACTGCTTTGTATTCGATGCCACGTCGGTGAGCCGGTTCGCCTCGATTACCACGCGAATCCTCACCGACACCCCGCACTCCATGATGCTTGTTCCGGCCCAGCGTGCGCATCCTCCCGGTGTGTTGTTCTGCCCTCTTCTCCGGCAACACTGCTGACCTAGCTCCTGCCTGCTCCCCTCTCCGCACCGGACCCTGGCTGGCGTGCATCGGACTTGCCCTCTCAGTGATCGATGAGATGGACAAGATGAAGGCCTTCGGCTCGAAGAAGGCCCTCAAGCTGGCGGCCAACAAGTTCCTTTCGTACTACCTGTTCATCAGCCAGCTGGCTCAGTGCGTCTTCTATTGTTTCCGCCTCCCCCCTGACTCTTTCTCTCTCTCTCTCTCTCTCTCTCTCTCTCTCTCTCTCCCTCTTTCTGTCTCTCCCTCTTTCTGTCTCTTTCTCTTTCTCTCTCTCTCTCTCTCTTTCTCTCTCTCTCTCTCTCTCTCTTTCTCTCTCTCTTTCTCTCTGTCCTCCTGCTCCTCGCCTTCCTTCGCCCGGCTTGCGTGCTCCACCTTTTGCTAACCGTGCGTCTCGTGTCTTGCGTAGTACTCGCTTCCTCGTGTCACCACGTACAAACTCGAAGCCGGATGAGATGCGTCAAATTGGCAGCCAGCTGCCCCAGGCCACATTTGAGCAGCTGTCCAAGACCCTGGGCGAGATGAATGTGCTTGCTCAGACGTGGAAGCTGAACTTCCTCCTTGTCACGGAGCAGCCCCCCCCGGCGGGGGCAATTCGGCTGCCGGCCTGCCCGGACTCTCCGGTGACCTTTGTCTCGCCAGGCAGCTTCCCGCCGGTCATCTGCAAGCAAACCTGGTCGGCCATGCACTCCGTCACTCAGCTCCGGGACTTCGTCACTCGGAACCACCTGCCCTTTGTGCCTCCGAAGTTGGAGCCCGAGCCCGAGCAGCCCTCACTCGGTGGGACGTCCCTCGGGCCTGGCGGCAAGCCGATTGTCGTGGTCAAGAAGCCCTCCGCCCCGCGGCCGGTCAACATGTCAGCCGAGGCCGTGCGAATCCTCATCGGCATGAAGGGCAACGGCGACGCCTCCGGCAAGGTCCTGGCTCTTTTGGTAGCCCTCCACCAGGCGGATGAGGTCCTGAGTGACTGGACGCTGTTGACCGACTCCCAGGATGTTTCTTCGGCTGCCGGATCTCAGATGCCTGCCAAGACGCCCCCGATGCCCCTGAAGGGGGTATCGCCCTCCACCCAAATTGCCCTCAAGCTGGCCCATGCGGCATCGGTCGCGGCTGAGAACAATTTCTGGGAGGCCCTGAAGGCGTCCCAGACCAGCAAGGCCAATGTCGAGCAGACGATTGTCAGCTCCAGCAGCTGGACCGCCATCGATGTGGGCATCCAGGTGCTGAGCAAGAGCTTTGACAAGGTCGTCAGCTGCAGGGCCATCGCCAGGGAAAAGCATCGCGAGCTGGCTCTCGCCATGACGCTGGCTTCCGCGGAGGCCACAGAGTCGGCGGACAAGGCGACTGTCGCCAGGGATGGTGCCCCTGGAGAGCCCGAAATGGGCGACCCGATCTCCAAGGATACCCCTTTGGCCGAAGCCCCTGCGACGGCGGCGCCGAGTGTCAGGGAGCTGGCCAAGGTGGCCAAGGCCATGGAAAAGGCTGCCACTTTGGCCACGAACAAGGCCCGGGAGGTTCAAAAGCTCTCCACACAGGCTCGGAGGGATTACGACGCCATCATCCGGATCTCCGACAATCCAGATGTTGTTACTTTGGCTGAGAGGACCCTCTCTCTGGTCAAAACCATGGGCAGCACCTATCAGAGTCTTGCCTCGGATAAGCATCGTGGGGCTCAGGCCGCGGCTCAGGCTGCGGCTGCGGCTGCGGCTCAGGCTGCGGCTGCGGCTCAGGCTGCGGCTGCGGCTCAGGCTGCGGCTGCGGCTGCGGCTGCGACCACAACCCCGGCCACAACCCCGGCCACGGCTGCCCAGCCCGAGAGTGCCGCACCATCGCTCGTGGTCACTCAGGCCGAGAGCTCGATTGAAGCCACAGCAAGTAAGATGGCCCTTCGGTTGGCGGAGTCCTCGGCGCGAGATGCCGCCGCCGCTGAGGCTCTCGCCGTGCAAACCGGGCTGGCGGTTGACACTGCCCGTGCTCATGTGGATGCGCTGGTTCTCGACGGCGGTGAGCCGAGCGAAATTGAGCAGGCCCGGGCTGACCTGGAGGCGTGCATCGAGCTGGCCAACGCCCAAAGGCTCATCGCACAGGAGAAGCACCGCGAGGCGGCCGCAGCTGTGGCGATTTACAGCAAGGTGGACCTCGACGTGACCAAGGCCCAGGCCGACACGGAGGCTCTTGCTGCTGCCAGACTCGAGGCAAAGGCAGCCCGGAAGGTGGCCAGGCAGAGGGTCGAGGCCGAGACCAAGGCGGCATCCAAGGCGGCAGCCAAGGCGGCAGCCAAGGCGGCAGCCAAGGCGGCAGCTAAGGCTGCGACCAAGGCGGCCAAGGCGGCCAAAGTCGACAAGAAGGGCGCTGTGGTGGCGGCCCCGGCCGATGGGCCCGCCAAGCCCCTCAAGCTTGCCAAGCCGCCTGCCAAGGTGGCCAAGCCTGCTCCCAGCCCCATCCCCCCAAGCGGTCATGACAGCACGCCGCCCGGGTCGGCCAACGATGACAGCAGCCCTGCCTCGGGGCCGGGGCCGGGGCCTGCGGCGCCGACTCCGCCGCCGCCGCCGCAGCCAAAGCCCCGGCCGCCCCTGGCGTCGGCGACTCTTCTCTTGCGGCCAGACAGGCCCAAGCCGACCGATGCTCCTTCGCCGAGTGCCAATTCGGATGCATCCAGCTCCGAGGCTGAAGTTGGTCCTCCGTCAGCCCGGCCGGTGAAGGACTCCTCTTCGGAGCCCTCTAAGGAGGCCGGCGCCCCGGAGAAGAAGAGCGCCAAGGCCAAGAAAGGCGCGACCCCATCGACGAGCCCCAAGCTGCCGCCCTTCTCCAAGGTGGTTCTCCTCAAGCGCCCGGGGCAGGAGACCGACGCCGCGCCGCTGGCCCCACAGGGTCAGCCGTCAGACGCCTCCTCCTCATGATGCGGCAGAGATTCCCAAGTGCCCTGGGCGCGGGGTGTTTGTGCATGCGCGCCATGGCCCCCCTCTCCAGCGCGTGCCGGGCGAAATATATCCAGGAACCCCCCCCCCCCCCCTCATGCGACATGGCCCTTGCATTGCCGATGCCTGGCTTGAGGTCCCCCGTTCTGGCGCCCCCATGTGACACACGGGAAGGAACAAACAAGGGCCGGGGAGCGGAGAGACATGGCACGTTGCAGGATGCAGCTATGTGTATGTATGTTTTTTTTATTGTGTCTGGGGGGAGAGAAGGCAGGAAGGGGGGTAGTAGGCAGCAGCGGGCCGGCGCGCGCAACAAGGGCTTGGAGGGCACCGCGCTGCTGCTGCATACGCACAAGGGAAGGGAGGGAGGGAGGGAGGGGAAGGAGGAAGAGAAGGAGGCGCAATGTCAAGACACTGGTGGGTGAATAGATCCCTGTAACTGAGTGGACAATCCTGCGGGGGAGCATATCCGGGCACATGGGTACACAGGAGGGGCAATGAGCGAGAGGGAGAGGCAGGACGAGGAAGGATCAGCATATGTGCAAGAAGCGGCGGCGACGAGGGAGGCAGCGCGGAGGCGGCATGCCAGGGCACATTATTTGAAGATCGTACCAAATATACACACAGTGTTGGGGCTGTTTCTGAGCACAAGAAAACAGTTCACGGGTTCTGAAAGAGTGCAAAATAAGCTACAGCCGCTGGGGCATTGCCCCTTTTTCTCGACGAACCAGCATACACAGCTCCCCCCCCCCCCCCTGGAGAGAGGAGGGGAGGCTGGAGGAGGCGTGGCATGCATACTGTGAAGGCGCGTATGAGAGATACACAGGCCATCAGGCGAGGAAAAGGAGGGCCATGTACCCAGGGAGGGGGGAGGACGAGGAGGAGGCATGGGCGGCAAAAAAAGAAAACAGCCCCAGCATGCGCGTGCGTGCGCATTTGCACAGAAGGGATAAAAAGCGGGGGCATGAGGCCAGAGAAAGAGGGGAGGGGGGGGGGGGAGGGGGGGGATGCATGTGCACGCCCCCGCCCGCTGCTCGCGACCCCTCTCCCTCCCCTTCGCGCTTTTCTACGCATATGCGCGCGACGCGTGGCGCATGGCGCGCGCGCACGAGGCATGCCTGCCCCTTCTCGTCGCAGAAATGCCAACCATGCCATTCTCACCGGGAACGGGGCATCACCATCAGGCCGCGGTCGCCATGGGAAGACGAGCGGTGCCACAATGGGCCGCGTGTGGAACGGCAAGACAAGCACAAGGCTGGCATCGCCCCGGAAGAGGGGGGGGGGGATGGCACACGATCAGAGGAAGTAGTCCGGAGTCTTGCGCGAGACGTGAGGCTCGCCGCGGCGGGGGGCCGGATCGAACTGGAGGCTGTGTGTGTGTGTGTGTGTGTGGTCAGGGATGTCAGCCGAAAAGAAGACGCGCGTGTGTGTGCTGGTGTGGGACCATGTCCCAGGCAACGAGGGGAGGCCAGCGGGCACACGGCTTTCGGGCGGAGCGCCTTCGCTTGTGCTCCTGTGGGTTGCGGGGAGGGGCAGGATGGCAGCACACGTACAAGGTGTACTTCAGGTGCTCGTCGATCTCCATGATGGCGGCCTGGTTGTTACAGCGGTAGCAGTAGTTGGGGGCACTGAAGATGGTGACCACCTTGCGCTCGTGGCACCAGTTGTAGCCCTCCATGACAAGCTGATGGGCGCGGGCAATCAGGGTCAGGCCGTTGTTGTGGTTGAACTGCTCGGAGACATCCTGGCCGAAGGTGTAGCCGGCACCACGGGGGGAGATGCCCCAGCCGAGGCGGTCATCCGGATCGGACCAGAGGAGGTCACACATGGCACCCTCATGGGGGACTTCAATGACACGGTTCACCAGCCGGATGTGGTCCAGGGTGTCGACCGAAGGCGAGAGACCGCCATGGAGACAGAAAATCTGCCAGATAGCAGGGGAGGGAGGGGGGGAGGAGGAGGGAGGACGGGAGACAGGAGGGTAAGCATGCTGCCGGGCACTTGTGGAAGCGGAGCAGCGGCATGGTCGCATGCACATGCAGCGCGCGCGCACCTGGTTCTCAATGAGCGCCGTCAGGGGAAGATAGTCAAAGAGGTCGGTGAACATCTTCCACACGTTGGCGTTGCCATACTTGCGCAGACACTCATCGTAGAAACCGTAGACCTGGGTAATCTGGCGGGACTCGTGGTTTCTGCGCGAAAGAGGAGAGGGAAAGAGAGAGAGGGGGGGGAGAAAGAGGCCAGAGGGCGGGCGCAAAGCAAAAGGGTGAGTGATGAATAGGCCCGGCCAAAGGGCAGAGAGAGGGGGAGGCGCGCGCGCGCGGGAGGAGGAGGAGGAGGGCACAGGACGACGCACCCGCGCAGAATGGTGATGCGGTGGCGGTAGCGCAGCTTGAGGGCCACCAGCAGGGTAACCGTCTCGACCGAGTAGTACCCGCGGTCGACATAGTCACCCATGAACAGGTAGTTGGTGTTGGGGAGCTCGCCACCAATGCGGAAGAGCTTTGCCGAGCGCACGTGAGTCTTCGAAAGGGAGGGGAGGAGGGACGAGGGCAGGGAGCAGGTGCGTTTGGGAGCTGCCGGGCGCGTGGCGCACCTCCTGAAGGTCGTGGAACTGGCCGTGGATATCGCCGCAAACGGTGACCGGGCAGTTAACCTGCTGGACGTTCTCCTCCTTGCTGAGAACCTCGCGGGCCTGGGTGGGAGGGGATGCGTGTGCGCGTATGGCCGAGCACGTGTGAGTGGGGGGTGCAGGGCGAGAGAGAGAGAGAGAGGAGGGGGGGGAGAAGGGCCATGAAGGGAGGTGCGGAAGTGCACAGACACCGGGGAGAGCCTCCCCCCCGCGGCGCGGCGAATCGGCAGATAGACGGACCATCTCGACAAGCTTGCGGATGTCGGACTCCGAGAGCTTCTCGCAGCGGCTCAGCTGGTCAATCCAACGATCAACGTCGGTAAAGTCGGACATCGTGGAGGGGGAAGAGTGGGGAGGGGGAGGGGGAAGAGGGACCCGGGTCTTCGGAGGAGGGGAGGAAGGAAAGGTAGAACAAGCGTGTCAGCCTCAGGAGCGGGGGGGGGGGTCCTTTGAGCGGGGCAGAGTCTTGCGCAAAAGCGACGCGCGGAACAGGGAGCGAGGGAGGGAGCAGGGACAGCGGCTTTTCCGGGAGCAAAGGCAGGAGCAAGCCGCGGGGCAGGGTGTCTGCAGACAGCCGGCGGGAGGGGGGGGGGAGGGGGCGAGCGAGCGAGCGAGCAAGCGAGCGACCGAGTGGGGAGGGGAGGGGCGAGGAGAGGAGGGGGGACGGGAAAGAGGTGAGGTAGGGGGGGAGCGAGGGGGGGAGGGGGGGGGAAGGGGTGATACCAAGATGGCGTGCACTTTGGCCTTAGGGGTATGGTTGGATATGCCCAGGGCACCGCGAGTATCCAAGCGACTCCCTTTTCTCGGGGGGAGGGAAGGGGGCGGGGGGCAAAGGAGGGTGTGCCAGTTGGCTGCTCGCCGCCGGGGCCGCGCCTGCCGATGCCGGACTGGGGGAAACGGCGCCGGCAGGACGACGTTCCCC